GCATGTCCATAGCCTTTCCAAAAGGCTTTTTTTTAATAAAAAAAAAACATTGACCACTAAGCACTTTTTGTCTATAGGTCTAATAAGAAAGGGTGCGTCCGGATTGCTTCATATCTCACATGCACACAGAAGAGACAGCCACACAGTGTCCACGTTTAGCATCCCCAGAAAATGGCTATTGAGAGGCAGTGCTCTTTTAGAACAGAGCCAGTGGCATATGTATACACACTCATGATTGCACATTTATTGATTTATAATTTGTACCCTGCTTACTTCCAAAAAGGCCCCGGAGTGGCTGACAAAATAAGACAAAGACACAATAGGGCCATTAAGAAAAATCAAAGATCAAGCCCAGAGAGAAAACGGGATTGCTGATTATAGCCCAAACCCATGTTAATATAGCTGCTTCAGTGAAAAATAATTTATTTAGCGCTTAGCTTTCTGGCAGCGATTCAGAATGTGTCATGACAGGCACAGAGAACTGGGCATCCTTCATGCCCCCAGCTCAATACCCACTGCCGACACCAGGCTGGAAGAAACACCGGGAAAAGCCTACTGAATACATGAATGAGTGAGGGAGTGAATGGCAGATAAAAGAGCCAGAGCTCCCTAAGAGCACTGTTTATATCCTTAGGCCGTACCACTCATCTGTTCGCCCACCATTCAGGAGTGCCTGTGTATGCCACACTCTGCCAGGTCGGCATCTGGAGCAGGATGGATCCCAAAATGAGTCAGACATCGTCCCTGCCTTCCTGGGGCGGCTCTCTGGCTTGAAGAAAAAGCTCAGTGCAATGTCTGTCACTGTTCACAGAAACTCTTAGTTTCTTCACTGCTTCCCCAGAAAGAAGGTCAGAAACAGAGGCTGGGAAGATGGGAGTTGTAGGAGGAACCATAGTTATCTTGGTGATTACACTCATACAGCACTTTAAACCCTTGAAAACACACACACACACACACACCATTACTTCATCCAACACTTAAAGCTCCTGGTGAGGTAGGTAGAAGAGGAGGCTGGTCTCCTTTTTCCTGGTGAGCATACTTAGACACAGAAGGGAAAGTGACTCTCCCAGCCTCTCTCAGAGAGCGGCAGTTAGGACAGTTCCCTGGGCTGTCCCACACCCCATGCTGCCTGCCTGCGTGTGGCCCCCAGGAGCTCAGAAACAAGTTATCATCGCCCAGAATGCCTTCTCTGCCCGGATCAAGACCAGCCCTGCACAATATGGGCATCACCTGATGGTGTGGACATTACAGGTCCCGTGAGCAAGAACCAGCGCCGACATCCTGCAGTTACTAGAACACTCAGACCCCACTCGCTCAAAGCCTCCCAGCAGCCCCAGCCCGGGCACCTTCTGTTTCCCTAGAAAGTGATGCTGAGATTATAGGCGAGTGGCAGATAGTCCGCACTATTTAGATAGGACAGGTTGATAAGACACCATGCGGTGCTGGGTGGAGAGATGGCTATCAGGGGAGCATTTCAGGGAAGAGCTACATGGAAGAGAGGAACTTCAAAATCAGGGTGATTTTGCTGTGTGCCCACTTGGTATTGCTCATTCAGTCCTGCTAGACACACATTGCACTTTGTCCACCCTCACGCCCATAAAAGTGCATTCAGAGTTGAAGAGTAGAAAGAGGGGCATAACCTTCCCCACATTTAGCTAAGTCGGCCAAGTGGACTGAGCAAGGGAAATGGAATACACAGCAAGAGGTACCTTGACAAAGTATATGGTGTATCCTAGAGAAGGCAAGAGAGGCCGCTGTACCAATGACACATAGCCAAAGCTTGCTCTTGTTCCAACAAAGAGCCCTTTAAAATACATTTATGTATATAGTCTTGCTGTGTGTAACATGTAGATAGAGGTGGAGATACAGATTCCTAATTCAGAACTCATTCTTAAGTGCACACACCAACATATGTTTCATATTTCCCAATTTATCCCGGAAAGTATATGCATTGTTTGACTGCATAAGTAGGTATTAAACATACAGCCATTGCAAATGGGAACGGTGTCCACCACTCTGGCACCTCCCCAGTAAAGTTA